TGGAGCCCACTTTACTTTGGTGCACGGTCAGGCCAACTTTCACAAATGCAATTTGCCATTCCTGTTATATATGTGTCAATAATGAAAATTCCTGTGCTCTGCTCTAGTATACACACTTCTGAGACCTGATGCTGTGGTAAATTGCATCAAATTGACACCCCAGAAGCCTCTAGGCACCTTGAACTGAACACATCCCAACTTCTTGGTTTTTATCTCAACAGCTCCTCTTGCAATTTTCGTCATCTTAGAAAATGCCAACTCCGATTGCTTCTTGACTCCCATCTTCCTTTCCTACCCTTGGCAAATGCATCTAAGAATAGTGTTTATTTCGCCTTCAAATTACTGCATGGAGCCCAATCGCTCCTCAGCATGCTCTCCCAGATTATTACTGTAGCTTCCTTTTTCTTATGAGTCACTGAGGCTTTTATTTTGCACAAAGAACCACTGAAAATCTTGTCTGTGGTCACCTTGGAGATTACAATAGAGGTGTGAGGGCTTCTGACCCTAGGTGGGAAGTGAGGTAACATACAATGATTTGGACCACTCACGTGATTACAGAGCTGGGGTTTCCAACAGGCCTCCAGGTGGTCAGGTGTGGCTTTGGACCTCTAGGGAAGCAGTGGCAGGAGGGGAGCTAAACTTAATTGCTCTCCTTGCTTCTATGCTTCCTTCAATACTGTCAGAATAAACCTTTGAAATTTTCATATATTATCACGCTTCCCTCTCCAGAAATCTTTGAAGAATTCTCCCACCAAAAGGAAAATCCCACAGGCCTTCCCCCTGAACTTTAGGCCACACATAGTCTTCCCTCCACATCTTATTTCCTCCAGTGTCTGTGTCTGCGTCTCCCACTCCTCTCCATCCTTAATGAGTTCATCACCATTCCTCCATACCTCCAACACTCTTTTTTCAATGTCACCGTACTTCCTGTTACACACACCCCCAAATACCATGTGAAACCCTAATTCTTTTAGGATTCTATTTAAAAATCATCTCATCAGAGCAGTTGGCCCTGACATAAAACAGCACCTTATGTAAAATAAGTCACCCTTTTATATTCTACCACCTTTCTTCAGAATGTGTTAATTTGATACAACCTGAAACTTGAAAACTCTCTGCTCTCAACTGTGTGCTCCATGGCTGGAACACTGCCTGATGCATAAACATGTCCAGTAAGTGCTGCTAATGAAAAAGACCCACAAAGACACTTTCTTTATAGGGATCTTACATATTGGGATTCTTTCCTCTTTCAAAGAGTCACAAACTCAGTGGTCAAGGCTATTTCATTAGAAAAGTGAGTTAGTTGTGTTGGATAAGTATCATTATTAGCACAGACCTAGAATGTTAGTGTATATTAATGTCATGAAATAAATTCCAGGTTCCCTGAAAGTTTGCCCAGTGGAAACAAAAATTTTATAGCTAATCATTTTTCTCTGAAACATTTAAGAGCAAGTTGCAGACAGAATGTCTCTTCACTTCTAAATTTCTGAAGATGCATGAATCCGTCACAAGGATATTCTTCTACAAAATCCAGTGTAAACAGAAAAAATCAGGAAATTGCCTGATAAAACATCCCATCCAATCCACAGACCTCATTCTGTTTTTCCCCAAGTATTTGCTTTTCCTTTCTCCTCAGTGCCCCATCAAGAATCATTTGCTGCATTTTGCTGTGATGGCTGAGTCTCTTCAAGCTGGATCAGTTCACTATGTTTCATATTCTTGAGTGCTAACACAGACCTTTCATTTTGTAGGATTCCTCTTATCTTGAGCCCATTTAGCTATTCCTACTGTGCAGACTTGGACTGTGCATTGTAGGCAGGAACATGGCAGAGATGGTGTGGCATCTCAGTGCCTCTCAGGACGAGGCACACCATGTGACTTGATGCATGGCTGGTGATCTGCACACTGGTCACCTGGTCTGCCAGAAGTCTTCCAAGGTTCTCACCAATAACCTTGCCACCTGTCCCCTTGTAAAATAGTATTTTTCAGATGATACTTTAAGACTTGGCTAACATCAAATATCAAAGACCCATCCACCAGCCTTAGGGTCCATCCAGGACTCTGGCCTGAATCTACCAACACTCTGTCAAATGGATACTTTCTGTCTCTACCAGCATCTATGAGCAGGCATTTCCACCATTGGGAAGCACAGTTCCCTCTCCCATGTTGTTTATTTCATTCTTTGTTTATGTTAGCAAAGGTTAAGTAGCTATTCACTAGGTTATCAATTACTATCCATTTCAGTGTCTAAATTGTCCTGGATTTGGCTAATGAGAGCTCTTTCCAACCAGATAGTGTGTACTTGTGACAACTCCCCTCATGCATTCCCTATGGCAAGGTTCAGGATCACCTTTCACTTTCTCAGGCCCAGCTCCAGAATCAGTTCTGGTTCTTTATAAGGGAAGGTGGTACGGAGAAAGCAAAATCTTTTGGTCATTTGATGTAGCCATTGCTCTGATTAGGTAATTATGTTTGTATGCATCTCCCTCTTCCCGGATGCACACATATATAGACATATATGGTAGTTTCTTAAAATTATTATTTTTATTTTTATGTGCATGAGTGTATTGCCTGCATGTAAGGGTACTGGTGTCATGCAATGCCCACAGAGATAGGAAGAGAATGTCAGATTCCCCTGGAACTGGAGTTACAGACATGTCAGCAGCCATGTGAATGCTGGGAATTGAACCTGGGTCCTCCACAAGAACAGTCAGTGCTCTTAACCACTGAGCCATCTCGCCAGCCCTATATACGGTAGTTTTTAAAAAGTGATTTTACGCTCATTTTTAATCCAGTCTCAAGTGTCAGGATTCTTTATAACCTATATTTACAAATTCTGTCTCCCCACAGTAAGTCACTTGGCTCCCGTTTTACTTAATACTTCAGGTACTTGCTCAATGGCCCTACTTTGGCAGTCTCTGAGTCTGAGCTGCTTCCTCAACCCTGTCATCTTTTCTGTCCCTAACTTTTCTAAGGGAAATTAAAGGGCAGACATGTTCATATAATCTTAATGACATCTTTTTTTCCAGTCTTGTGGCTGGAAAAAAACTGCTAAGAGGTATGGAAATCCAGGAAACCATGGAGCTTTGTAAAGGTATTTGCATAAAATCTACATGGGGTTTTATAACGAATAGACGCTTCCCTCAGACCCCTTGGTTGTTCAGGAACCGGCAGCCACTTTCACCTCCTCAGTGTTGGATACTATAAAAAGCAATGCCCCAATTGCCTAGAAGCCTGCTTTCTAAAAGGAAGAAGCTAGGAGACACAGAATCCTGCACATCAAATACCATAGAGACAGAGTCTTCTGGTTAGTGTGCCTGGTTCTAATTTGGGTACAGCTGGGGTTCTCTGCTTTCTTCTAATAGCCACCAGCTGCTTGTACCTCTGCTGAAAAAAGACAAGTTGTGCTGACAGGCATTCATAAGCAAACAGCTGTACATATATTATCCTGAGCAAAGGTGGCATTTTGGTTTTGTTTTGTTTTGTTTTATGAATTGGGCCCTGGTTCTCTGAAAGAATATCAGGTGGAAGGGATAATGTGAATGATTGTGTATTATTGAAGAAATGTTTTTAGACACTTTATATTTCTGGTATCTGCAACCATGGTGAGGAGGGATAACAACCATCCAAACGTTTAATTGGTAATGAATTCTGCTGCATTAGTATTCAGAGATACTCTTGGGAAACTATTCTCTGAAGGCTAGTTGTAATCTCCATGCACAACTGAAAAACACTTTAAGACAGTAACCCAAACAAACCTCACTTCCTGTTAACACTATGAATTTTCTGTTACAAGTCATGGCAACTACAATAAAGACAACAGGGAAATATCCCATCTAGGGTCTTAAAGAATTAGAGAAGATCGACTTTATAAGAAAACAAATGCCGCAGGTTGTCTTCCAGAGGGGAGAAAAGAAATCCCTTGTATCTCCACACACACAATAGTCTCTAGGCCAGAAGAGCCAGCGTTACCAGGGACCCTACTCTGACTCACTAAATATGAATCTGCAGCTTTGGAGTCTGGTTTAAAAACTAAATTTGATAGCCATTGCTCTAGATAGTCTGGGGTAGTGGAGGGAGGACCGCAAGTCCGACCAGCCCATGGACAAACACTTAGGGAATCCACTGTACATATTCCAGAAAATGGGAAGGTTGCTCAGGAGAGGTATATACATTTTGCTATATTTAAGAAGCAGGAAGTTGTTCCAGAAGTCAGGTCAAAAGGTCGCTTCCCCTTTTGCGCCCAACTAGTCCAGGTGGCTAGTGGAGACTGAATTTGAGGCCCGGCAGGTGTCGCTGCCGTCCAGGAAGAAAGACAGTCAGCGTGGCAAGTGGAGCCCAGGAGCTTTGACATCACACTAGGCTCCTCCTTGCACGCACACATTTTACACACACACACACACACACACACAGAGGCACTCGAACAGCCAACTCCTCTGCACCCTCACTCCCATCCTCCCGGAGCCCGCCCCTCCCGCAGCAAGTGAGTGTCCCGGCGCAGCCACCGGGTCAGGCCAAGAGCTCAGCGTCCAGTGCCCGAGGGAAGCCACGCCGAGCGGTAGCTGCAGAGGGACCGGACTGTCCCAGTGCCCGGCGGCCGGGACCCGTTCGGCAGCACCCGGGAGCGAGAGCCACTCGCGCCCGCCCCAGCCGGCCCGAGGGCGCAGAGCTGCCACCCGGCTCCCAGCCGCGGAACCCCGCCACCTCTATGAGAGCGGGAGACGTGGAGCGCAGGAGCAGGACGCCTGGCAGCCGGACTCCCCCGCAAGCCCGGGCGCCCGCTCCTGATCCGCCCCGCGAGCACCGGAGAAGCCGGATGCCAGCGCCGCGCTTCGGCTGAGAGGGGACAGGGCCGGCGCCACCCGCTCTCCCGGAATACGGTCCCCGCGGCGGCTGCGCGTCCTGGTCGCGGCCCCCGAGTGAACAGCAGCTACAGGAGGACCGAAGCGGCCGGCCCGGGGTTGGCCCGGGCTGGGGAAGGAGGGACGGCGCGGGAGGAGGGAGCGGGGGGCGGGGAGGGGACCCCGGAGGATAAAGATGGCAATGTCTCTTATCCAAGCGTGCCGCAGTCTGGCTCTCTCAACATGGCTGCTTTCCTTTTGTTTCGTGCATCTGCTCTGCCTGGACTTCACGGTGGCGGAGAAGGAGGAATGGTACACGGCCTTTGTGAACATCACCTACGCCGAGCCCGCGCCGGACCCCGGGGCCGGGGTGGCGGGCGGCGGCGGCGGTGGCGGCGAGCTGCACACCGAGAAGAGCGAGTGCGGGCGCTACGGGGAGCACTCGCTCAAGCAGGACGCCCGCGGGGAGGTGGTCATGGCCAGCTCGGCCCACGATCGCCTGGCCTGCGACCCCAACACCAAGTTCGCTGCTCCGAGCCACGGCAAGAACTGGATAGCGCTCATCCCCAAGGGCAACTGCACGTACAGGGATAAGATCCGGAACGCGTTCCTCCAGAACGCCTCAGCCGTGGTCATCTTCAACGTGGGCTCCAACACCAACGAGACCATCACCATGCCCCATTCAGGTGAGCGAACCCGGGGTACCTGGCTGTCGCGGGGGAGAGGAGCCAGAGAGGTTGCGGGCCGGGGGTGGGGGCAAAGTGACCCAGAGCCTGCTCAGGGCTCTGCCTGGAAAGTGCGTGCTGAAACTAGGATGCATTTCTGATCCCTACACCTGCTAAGTTTTGCTCGGAGTCACTTAGAGACAGGGAAGGAAGTTACAAAGAGGAGAGGATTTGGCGTGTTGCAGGAATATCAGAGAGCACTGCGCGGCTCGGGTGCAGGCTCACTTTGATGGGCTGGCATTTCCCAGTAGAATTTGGAAAGTGGGGTTTGGAGGGCAGGCCAGGGATATTGTTCCGGTTAGAGACCAGCTCCACACCTGTTTGGAACAAGATTCGTTAACTTGGCCCTGTACTCAGGTGTGTGCATCAGGTATACATCTCTAGTGCGTGGGTTTGCCTATCAGGAGTTGGGTCAACCTGCAGTTGACCACCTGCGAATTGCTCCTGCAAGTCAGGTTTCAGCTCTTAGCCTGAGATTAAAAGCTGCCCCACCCCCACTCCACTGCCCTTTGCTGTTTGCTGAGTTCACACAAATCATAAATAATATTTTAAGAAACGTCTCTAACAGGCTGTGCTGGAGAAAGGAATAGTCGGGTCTCAGTGGTAAATTATAACAGTGCTCAAAAGCCAAGAGTAACGTGGCGGTAAAGTTAGAGTTACTTTTCCGGTGTTGTTATCCTTTGCCTAGGAGTTTAAATATGCTGAAGGTTTCACTGCAGAAAGAAGCTTTTGTTAATGACTGCAGGTGCCGGGACTAGAAATAGTGCATGACACCCCTCTCTATTCCCCAACCCCCCTCCAAATTAAACCCTTTTCATAAGCAATGTTTCCTTGGTAGGAGCAACGCCAAAAAGCAGATAGGCTGTATTGTGCACATTTGACAGCATGAGCCAGGGTTGTAGCAAACTTGACTCCAGGGTCCAGGACAACTGCTTCTACCTAAGTGTCTGAGAGATGGGCAGTTTTCCCCACAGGAATTTCTAGGCTGTGGCTGGCTTTTGCATAGGATAGCAGGCAGGAAGTGAAATGACAGATGCCTTTTCTGAGTTGAGTAGCCTAACCCAAACTATACTCATAATTAAAGGGTAGGTTTTAATAAACAGGCAGGCTACTGAAATAGAATACCAGGTGTGGCTATGTTTGCAAAGGTGTTTTCTTAAGGGACAGGTTTCCGTTTTAAGAGTTTATATCACCTATTAGTGAAATACAGAATCGATTTGCCACTAGTAATCAACACCCATTGTGTTAGTCAAGGGCATTTGTTATCCTTCATGCAGACAGGTGGGAAGGGGAAATGTCAGAGGCTTTCCAGAAGAACTGCAACATGTTAATTCATGAAGAGAGACAGTTACCTTCTTAGAAAAGTTCCAGTATAATACTTTAGAAACATTTGACATATTTCCTTGAGCTCAACAGTTTTCTAGGGGAACAGACTACCTGACCTTGAGTCATAGGAGCACAACATGAACTTGATCTCCAGGGGTGCTTGGACTATGGAAGAGTAGTCTCAGTAGTGTAAAGTATCTTTAAATTAACATTTAATTTGGAAAATATAGATTGAGGTAGTGGGAAGTAGGGCATGAAGGAGTTTTTCTTGGTTCTGTAAACACCAAGATGATTGTTAGCTGAATTTACAGATTCTTTAAGTGTTTCCCTGTGCATGAGCATGGAATTTTAACTCAGCTTCTTTGAGCACAAACTAATAGACATTGTTTGTCCCTGTCCAAGAAAGGGTTTTTTGGAACCTCCAACACATTTGATGAATTAATGGCTTGCCTGTTTTTGAAGAAAGCAATAAGCTGATTTTCCACACAAATGATACTTAAGACATACTGGGAATAAGAGGGTTGATTCTAAAAGTGAAAGGCTTTTAAAAGAATTATCTACCACCTATAGTTTTGCCAAAAAACAAACAAACAAACAAAACCCTGTTAATATTGTATCTGCTGGTAGCCTTGAACTCTGCATTCTCTTTGAAATTGCCCCACATTAGTGAGGGGCAGCACTGATTTCTGCAGGAGTGTTCGAAGGGATTATGTGATGTGGGGGCACAAGCACAGCATTGATATGATTGTTGAAATCTCACTTGCTTCTGGAATCTGAAGGCTCTATTCTCATTTAGTGAGTCAGACTTGTAAGCTCACTTAGGAAACCATGTACAGGTTAGACGCCGACTAAACATTTCTTCTTTTGTGAACTTGGAATGCAGCATACCGGGGGATACAGGTATAGCCTTTTAAAATCCAGTCCCCAAGAAGTTTAGAGAAAAAGAAAACACTGATATTGCTTCCCCTCTGCTGTTGATGCCCTGATATTTGGAACTGATAGCTTTGGGAAAAGAAGGACCAGATTTGGAGTTCTGGAATCCACCATATAGTGTCTATTTTGTGTGATAAGATAATAACATACATGATAGACAAAAACTCAATTGATAAAGATTATTTTCTTTTTAAAAAATATAATTCCTTTTTAATATTCTTAATTTTTATTTTATGTGTGAGTGTTTGTGTGCATGTATGTAAGTGTACTGCGTGTGTGGAATGCTCATAGAGGCCAAAAGAAGGTGTCACATCTGCTGGAAATGGAGTTGTGGTCAGTTGTCAGCTGCCATGTGGATGCTGGGAACCAAACCTGGGTCCTCTGCAAGAGCAGCCAGTGTTCTTAACCACTGAGCCATCTCCCCAGCCCCTTATAGACTACATACTATTTCTTTCAGGTCTTTGTTTCCTTTCCTGAATCCATGATTTTGAGTTTCTGCTATTTCTCATCTTCAGATGTGACTTCTCCTTCACAAGGATGCAGACTCCCCTGCTCCTGTGGGTAGTTTACTTTATAAAGAATTACTTTGCTTTCTCTAGTAACTTTATTGAGGTGTGATTTGCATACTACACAGTTCAGTCTTTGATGAGGACAATGTTCTCACACTGAGTTAGTGGTCATCACACTAATTACATAAAACAAACACTTGTACCTATTAGTAACTGTTCTTCCTTACTGTACCCAAGCCCTGGGTAAATACTAGTCTACTTTCTATCTTCCCATCTCTATTTGTCTCTTTAAAATTTTTATTGATTTTTTTTGTGAATTTCATATGATATATTTTGATCATATGTAGACCCTCTCCCTTATCTGCACCCCTCTTATAGCCACCCCCCCAGAAGATTTTATGTACTATGTCACATCTGTTAAGGCCCATCAAGCCAAGTGTGTGCCCCCCAAATATCTTTTGGTGTGCATTCATCTACTGGAGCCTGGTTAACCTACCTAGCTTAACACCCTTAAAAAAACCCAACTCTCCCTCTCCCAGCAGTTGCCAGTTGCCAATAGTTCCTGAGCTGAAGTTGAGGCTTTTTCCCCACTTCCTCACTTCTGTGCTGGGATTTTGTCTGCTTGAGCTTGCATGGGTCCTGCGCATGCTGTTCCTATTCCTATAAGTTTATATGAGTAATCTCCCAGCTGCCTGGAAAATTCTGTTTCCTTATATTCTTCCACCACCTCTGACTCTTACAAGCTTCTGTCCCTTCTTCCTCAATGGTCCCTGAGCCTTGGGTGGCAGAGGTTGCATTGTAGACATGTCATGGGGCAGAGCACCTCACAAGGTTATTCTTTGCATTTGACCAGTTGTAGAACTTTGTAATAGTATCCATTTGTTGCAAAAAGAAGCTTCTTTGATAAATAGTGAGAAGCACACTTGTCTGTAAATGAATATAAGGATATGTATTTAGAATATAGTAAGAAATTACACTGGTCTAGGGATGGGACAAAAGTGGGTTCTTCTCTAGGATCTCTGACCTCTCCAGCCATGTGTATTTGGCTGTGTTTTCAGTACTACACAAGAGTTTCCTCTCATACAGCAGGCTTTAAGTCCAGTTAGACACCTGTTGATTACCCCTAAGATCAAAGTGCCACTACTGCACTAGTAGAAATATTTGCTGGTCTGATCAATGTTGTGGCTCACTGACTTTAGAGCTGGATAGAATCATTGATTGATTTTTCTCCCTTTTCAGTTTGTATAGTATTGCATTTGTCTCTTTTGCTCATGGTATATGAATGGAATCATGTGATATGCATGACTTCTCTCACTTAGCATACTGTTCCCAAGGTTCATTAGGGTTGTAGTAAGCAGCATGGTTTACTGCTTTATTTCTATATACTACCAGATAACAATCCACATTTTGTTCCCTGTTAATTGATGCACATTAGGTCATTTCTACTTTGGAGGATTTTATAAATAATACTGCTATGAACATTCATGTACAATTTTTTTGTGGGCGTATTTCTCTTAGTATATTCCGAGGAGTAGAATTTATGGGTTGTATGGCCACTCTATATAATCTGGCTTTTTGAGGAAGTGCTAGATTCCTTCCTTAAATGTCTAAGCCATTTCTCATTGCTATCAGAAATCGTGAGGGTTCTGGTTCTTGGACTTCCTCAACAGCATTTGTTGTTAGCCACCTTTTTATTTTAAAGAAAATACAGTGTTCATTTATTTGCAATTCTCTTTCCCAACTTTCTTCTTTCTATAAGCTTGAAGGAAGGTGGAACTGTATCCATCTTGTTCATTATATATTCTTTTTTTCTTATCATTGTTTTATTGAATTTTTGTGTATTTTATACAGAATATCTCAAACAATCTTAATCATCTTTATACCCCCCATCCCAACCAGCACCCTTTCATATCCCCCCATTGGAGCCTGTATACTCTGTCATCCATGTTAAGGTCCACTATGTCAAGTCAGTGTTCCCAAGATGCTTCCCAATGCAAGTCCATCCACTGAGGTCTAGTCAGCCTATTTAGAGTCCCTTGTTTTAGGAAGATCAGCTCTTTCTCACCTAGCAGTAATCAGTTGCCAATATTTCTTCTGCTAAGATAGGGGTCTGCTGTGCATTTCCCCAGTTCTATGCTCGTGCATTTCCCCAGTTCTATGCTCAGTTTTTGTCTGCCTGAGTTTGCATGGGAC